TACAAAAACAATCAAGAATTAGAAAAAGAGGGTAAGGGGGCCAGTTGCTTACCGGATAAAATAAAGCCGGAGCTATATTCGCCGAGACCAGACGACAGTTGTAACAGTAGCAAAAGCTTCGCGGGAATGGAAGAGTAAGGATGGTCACAGGATTTGGGACTTAGAGCAATGGCAGATTCGAAGAATGCTAGAGCTTTTAGAGAGAGAGAAAACAAAAAATCAGAATGCAAAAAGTGAAGAAAGGAAAAGGGAAAGAAAAGTTTTATCAAAAACTTGAAACGGCGGCAAAAGCAAGGCATTTATTACGCCTGGAGCAACTCACGCGTCAGACGGCGCAGACGAGTGAAAGATAGCTTTCAGGCGCATCACAGACACGGGCCAATGAAGACAAAGCACGTGAGAGAAACGGTTAGATGTGCATGACAGCTCATGCGCGTGATGGAGTTCATTTGAATTCTTATTCTCCGAAGAGAATACATCGGCTTGAAAGTGAATTATCTCAGCCAAATAGTTTTTGAACCACTATGTAGAAAGAAATATCAATATAGGTTCCATCACCTCAGAATGCCGAGGTAATAGAACCTAGGGGGCAGTTGTGGGGATATATTTTCTGAGTACCAACACGTTATATTTCTTGGGTACCAACACGTGGCATGGCGACACCGACGTGTTTGGCCGAGGTGCCACGTGTTGTGGAAATTACGCCGAGGTGATCTCGGAGTTGCCGAGGTTATCTCCGAAGATATCGGAATCCGAGATAAGCGGATAAGGGACAGGAGTCCTAGGACAAAGAGGGGACTTAGCAGAGATAAGGATAAAGCTCTTAGGGAGTTTATCTTTATCTCTTGAGAAATCCTAAGTAAGCACTGAATTGAAGTCTATAGAAGTCATGCTTCTAGTAGGACTTGGATTGAGTTAACTATAAAAGAGAGGCACCCCCATGGGTCTAAGGTACGCAATTTTATACTCAAGCTTGTGAGTTTAGCACTTGATTATCTTTGAGAGATATACTGACTTGATCGTCGGAGTGCCCCTGGGTGGAAGAGCCACCGCCGGAGCCCTTTCTTTCTGTTACAGGTTACTGGAGCCATCTATTCTGCCGGTGCTCTCCAGCTGATTACTAGGCGGGCAGTGTGGTAAGAAAATTACCCACACAATGAGAATTAGAATTTTGTGGATCAAATGTCCAAATAATATGATTTATTGGAATATAAAAATATCTTATGGACTAATTGGGATACAAACACTTGAAAAATAATTTTCTAATAAATCTCCCGTTATTTTATTGTGTTATTTTTAAATAAATCCATTTTCTAAGTGTTTTATTTCATCTTCTTTTTTAGTATTCCATTAAGTCCAGTTTAATATAATATGACCAAATCACCCTTTTAATTTTTTGCACATGTTTCCATTTTGAAATTAATACACAGAAAAAAATAATGATAGTTCCTTATTTTATGGAGAAATCTCTTATTCATTCTAAAGAGAAAATATTTCCCTCATTCGAAGGAGAAAATCTCAAATTATGAATTTTCAACTTTTTTATAATGTGAAAATTTTAAAAATAACACAACAAAAAATCTGAACGAAATTCAAAATACAATATAAATGTTCACAGTAAACAATAAATATACAATAACTTTTGAATAAACAAAACACATACTAAAGTTTAATGTGAATGTTCACAGTAAACAACAAACATACAATTAACTTTTGAAAAAATAAAACACATACCAAAATTTAATGTGAATGTTCATAATAAACAACAAACATACAAATAATATTCGAAAAAACAAAATTCATATCAAAATACAATGTGAATGTTCACAGTTTATAATTTTTTTTTTTTTATCAGCAAAGAAAAGGAAACTTTATTGATGAGATGAGCAAAAAACACGCAACAATGTACATCAATAAAGGAGGGAAGTGCAAAAGCATTATAGCTAACACTCCACAATCCCAATTAGGTTGGCACCAAGGAGAAAGCACAATCATCTACTAGCACTAGACTCACAGATTGGCGAGAAGCCAATCCAAAACAAAGAAAAAACGAAAAACAGAGATAAAAACCACCCAACCACAGCCTTCCAAATCTGCCAACTCCACCCCCAACAAACACCAGCACTTTATGGCCAAAAAAACAGCAGACCATGGTAGACCAGAACCAAAACCATAAGCAGACCATAGCCTCAACAACACGTCTTCAACAACAACAGACCAGGACCAAAACCATGAGCATATCTACCAAGACCATCCTGCACACAGCATTTAAATTCAGTGGCAGCAAACAACAGGATTCTACAACTGGGAGGAGCTTCCTTGATACACTGCAGATGACAACAGATCAAATCAAAAGCAAAATAAAACAACAGAGCAACCTATGCAGCAGCAGCAGCAACCAAGCAACCAAACAACCATCCTACAATCAGATCATCCTACAACCAAAGCACCAGCAGCCATCAAAACAACCAAGCAAACAGCAGCTGCAGAGTAAAAACACCCAACCATACAGCAGCATTATACCAGAAACAGCTACAATACAGCAAGAAAAAACAATCAACCCCTACCGAGACACCTTCTAATCTGATTTAGGTTATAAATAAAATCACTCACTGGGTATTGCAAATCCTTTGATGATGAACTAAGCCAAAGAGCCAATCTAGTTTTGATAAGCTCAACTAAGACCTCTACATCAGCACTAGCCTTGTTGAAAACACATTCATTCCTTAACTTCCATATAGACCACAAAGTTACAAGAGGGATTGATCTCCAAAACACATTTCTTTTTTCTTAAACTTTCCTCCCTCCCACCAATGCAACAAAGACACAATTGAATTAGGAATTACCCAATGAATCCCCCACCACTTCAACACTGATGACCACACCTTCCACACAAAAGGGCAATGAAGGAGCACATGTGTAACCGACTCCAAATCTTTTTGACAGAAGCAACATAAAGTACAGTTTCCACCAGATAAGACTCCAATTCTCTGTAAGAATACAGAAGTCTTAATCTTGTGTTTCCAAGCAAGCCAACCAAAGAACTAAACTCTAGGAGGTAAGACCTTATTCCATAGCAAACCACTGACCTTAAGGTAATTTCCACCCTTCAATGAACAAAGTTTGTACAGGGAAGATATCGAAAAAATACCTGATGATGTGGCTGACCATTCTGGGTAATCAATTCTATCCAAGCTTACTGAAGGACCAGATGAGAGAGTAGAGAATAATCTCTGCAATTCCACCTTTTTCCATTCAAACAACTCTCTTCTAGGTAAAATGCTCCACTCCCCTAAGGAATCCTTGAAATTTGCAAACAGATGAAGAGAACCCCTCTTTTCCTTTGATAAGCTGTACAATCTTGGGAATTCTATTTTCAAACACTGGGAGTTACACCATACATCCTCCCAAAATCTGACCCTACAACCATCCTCCACCCTTACTTTAAAATTATTTCGAAAACACTCCACTAGAGAAGGGTGCTGATTAGCCACTGAACTAATATCAATCCATAATCTTGACTGCAAAGAACTGTTCCCAAGAAAAGGAAGCCAGGTACACTCCTCCAAATTATATTTACTGCAAATCACTCTCCTCCACAATGCTTTTGTCTCAGAAGCAAATCTCCACCACCACTTAAGTAACAAACAAGAATTTGTAATTCTGACCTTTCTAATCCCCAAACCTCCTTGATCAATACTTCTAGTCACTTCCTTCCATTTGACTAAGTGGATTTTCCTTTTGAGATCTGAACCTCCCCAAAGGAAAGCAAATTGAACTCTTTCAAGATCCTTGGCTACCCCCTCAGGCATTCTGAACAAAGATAAGTAGTAAATAGGTAGGCTTGCTAGGACTGATTTAATCAAAGACAACCTTCCAGCGAAAGACAAGAACCTCCTCTTCCAACCTGCTAACCTAGCTTTAACTTTATCAAGGATTGGTTTCCAAGTCCTCCTTCTACTAGGGTTTGCCCCCAACGGAATCCCAAGGTAATTCAATGGTAATGAGCCAGCCTTACAGTTAAGTTTACCAACAATCAACCAGGATATCTTCTTTCACACCTACACCACAAACCACACTCTTATGATAATTTATTTTCAGCCCTGATATAAGCTCAAAACATCTTAGGATTCTCTTGATGTTCACTACTTCCTGAACTTCAACTTCATAGAATAAAATTGAATCATCAGCAAACTGCAGGTGGGACACAAGTACACCATGAGTCCCAACCTTAACACACTTAATTAAATTCTTTTCTAGAGCTCTGGACAGTAGTATATTTAAACCTTCTGCCACTATATTGAATAGAAAGGGGGAGAGAGGGTCACCTTGCCTTAACCCTTTTTGGGGACAAAATTCTTCAGTGGGAGAGCCATTCACAAGGACTGAAACCTTAGATGATGTAACACATTCTCTTATCCACGCTATCCATTTATCACCAAAACCAAATCTTGATAACATTGAGAATAGGAACTCCCAATTGACTGAATCATAGGCCTTTTCAAAATCAAGCTTAACTATGACACCCATCCTCTTTACCTTCTTCCACCCATCAACCACCTCATTTGCTATTAATACTCCATCCAAAATATTTCTGCCACTTAAGAAAGCAGATTGAGCCTCACTGATTATTTCAGGCAGAACACTCCTAAGTCTATTTGATAACCCCTTAGATAGAACCTTGTAAACTGAGCCCACTAGACTTATAGGCCTAAAATCTGACAATCCCACTGTATTCTCTTTTTTGGGAACCAATGTTATAAAGGAACTATTAATACCTTTGACCAATTTACCATGAGTGTGAAACTCTTTCATGAATTGGATCAAATCTCCCTTCATTATCTTCCAATGCTTCTGGTAACATAAAAGATTAAACCCATCTGGTCCTGGAGCCTTGTTTCCTTCACAATTTTTGATCGCTATCCAGATTTCATCCTCTGAAAATTCTGATTCAAGCAATTCAAATGCTTGACTACTCCTTACTGTTTTGAAAACACCCTCTAATGATGGTCTGCATTTCCATTCCTCTGATTGACTTTCACAGGATCTTCATACACCATATCTCCCACAGTTACTGGATTTAGCCCATTTCTGCTCTGTCTACTAGTAGCCATGATATGAAAAAACCTTGTGTTCTTATCACCCTTCAGTGCCCAGTCAAGTCTAGCCTTTTGAAGCCACATCCATTCAACCCTTCTACTTAACTTCCAAGCCTCACTTAATACTTCTTTTCTTCTTGCCTTCTCAATCTCCTCTAAATCTCTTATTTCTGCTAGCAGGTCAAGCTTATGCAATTCCTCCTCTACTGACTTAAGCTTAGTAGGGACATCCCCATATACTTCTCTGTTCCACTTTCTCAAAGCAATTTAAGCTTACTATGTAGGATAAAACCTGCCCACCCAACTACTATAGCCTCCATCCAAATTTTCTCCAGAAAACCTGAGAACTGCGGATGTAAGATCCATGCATTTATGAATCTGAAAGATCTAGGACCCCAGTCCCTATCATCCTCCATAAGAATTAAGGGGCAATGGTCTGATAGTAATCTAGGTAAACCCCATAGTTTGAAATTGAACACTTCTAACCACTCTGGATTTACTAAAAAGCGATCAATCTTACTCCACTTTTCTCCCTCATGAGCATTACACCAAGTGAACTTCCTACCTAACAGAGGAATATCTGACAATTCACATGACTCAATGAAATTGTTGAAATCCCTCATACCTCTATCCCTCATAGAGCAGCCTATCCTCTCACCAATACTTATGATTTCATTAAAATCACCTCCTATACACCAGGGCTTAGGGAAAACAGACTTCAACCCCCAGAATATTCCAAAGCTTCTCTCTCCTACCCACTACATTAGGGGCATAAATATTCACAATAACACACTCAAAAGAATTGAAAAGAGTACCTAAAATCAGAATAAAGCTCCTATTACTGCAGCAGTCTGACATCTGGAATACTCCAGGATCCCAAATACATAGGAGACCTCCAGATGAACCTTCTGAATCTACACACAAAAATTCCATTTTATCTTTAGGCCATAGAGCTTTAACATCCAAATTATTGCAACTATTTAGCTTTGTTTCTTGGAGCAATACTATATCAATCTTTCTATCAACAATCAATCTTCTAATCTTTCCTCTCTTCTCCCTCCTACCCAATCCTCTGCAATTCCAAGAAAATATCTTCATTAGGGAACAAACTAAAAACTCTGAAGCCTCCTCTAGATACATTTCAAACCATGTCCTCTCTCTCTCCACCAATTCTTCCCTTATCCTTCTGTTCCATATCCGTAATCATCTTCAGAGCATCTGCTTCATTCCCTTGGAAATTGATCCCCAATAGACTTCCCATTTGAACAGTAGCTTCAGCTTCTTTTAGGATTAAACTTCCTTCCCCATAGCCGTTGCCAAGATGAGGTGTAGGTAGAGTTGCTAAAGCTGCCACTGCTGGTCTGAAAATAACCCTCTTACAACCCTTCTTGCTTGATGACACAACTTTACGGCTAAGATTTTTAACAAAACCTGAGAATCCACCCATTTACATTTGATTGCAATGCCCTCCTTTTCTTTTTTCTTCCATTTTACCTTTACCTTTGTATTTTTTTTTTTTTTTTTTTTTTTTTTTTTTTAACCTCATAAAAGGTGGTTCCCAAAAATTAAGTACGGTTGCAATCACTTTAAATGGAGTAGTTGCACATGGACTTAAAAATCTCTTTGCATGATGGTCTTCTTTTGATTGTTTTAGGATTGGTTTACTCGTCATTTTCCAACAAGGAAAATACATGGCGTTGAAGGGTTATTTTAGGAGCATTTTTTCATAAATTTCTTTTTATTTATTTATATTTTAGTTCATATTATTATTTTATATTTTAATAAGTCGTATGGGTGACATACTTATCAAAATATTCCTAATAATAATATCACATTGACAGTGTGAATGTTCACACCTTCAATGTGAATGTTCACACCATCAATATACATGTAAACACGCCAATGTAAATGGTATGTAAATGGTCATACGGTCAATATGAATGTTAACACATCAATGTGAATGGTCACACCGTTAATATGAATATTCACATTGTAAAATATGAATATTCATATTACCAAAATGCTAATCGTTCAAAATATTTATAAAGGTAAAATTATCTTTAAAATACCTTAAATATGAGAATTAAAATTCTGTGAATCAAATGTCCAAATAATAGGACTCATTAAAATACAAGAATATCTTATGAACTAATTAAAATACAAAACTTAAAAAAAGATTTTCTAATAAATCTCCCATAAAAATTCAACATGAGATAATAATTTAATATACCTAACTCGACCCGCATCCAACCGTACGTACAAGTCCAATCCCTCATTAGCCAACACTTTTGTATCTGTCAAATTCCCATACCATGTGATGCAAATGCCTCCTCATCCACTCGTGTAAGCCAAGCATGAACAATTTCTCAAACACTCGTCCTCACAAGCTTCCTTGCTCATGTTCATCTCAGATCGTGCCATCCCCGAGGTATCAGGAACCTTTGCACTTGCAACCTTTAACAAACCCTTCACCGTTACCACACATGGCAATTGTCTCGCCATGCTTCCTCTTGCATCCACCTAATCCACCTTGTAAATTCCAGTCTTGTGCCGACCTAGGTTCATATCCTAGGAGGCACGTACACTCGAACACACCCCCATTGTTTGGGTGACAATTACCATAGGACCACACTTAGAGAGGTAAATTTAGCCTAGCCTGGCCATGTCGGGCCTCACGAACTCCCGCTAAAAATCGAACAGGCTAGAAAATTAGGCCTAGGTCCAGGGAGTATTCCGACCTTGGGTTGGCCGGGGGACCTGGGCCTGGGCTCAAGCTTTTGCCAAGCTTGGGTGGGCCTAAATATATATTTTTTAAAAAATTTTCCATCAAAATTTCATTATTTTCCACTAAAAATAACAGTGGCCCCAGGTAGGTCAGGTGGGCCAGGCTTTGAGTGGGCCTTGAGCGAGCCGATGGGCCAACCCAAGCCCAAGGCCTTAGGCTAGGCTAAGGGCTCATCCCAAGCTGCAGGCAAGTTTTGGACCGCCCACGAGCTGCAAGCTATTTTTACACTCCTAACCACACTGGCCGTAATAATCACATTCATCCTTTGGGGCGAACCAGAAGCTGACCCATTTAGCATTGTACTTGTTCCACGTACTTGCCTTTATGTACCCTGATTCGTCCACGAACAATAACGATATTAGTGAGGCATTAACAAGACTGTACATCACAGATAGCTCTTCATTGTTAGAGACATATCTACCATTCATTGTGAAATTAGCTGGCATTATGCCACTCCATTTGTCACCAATCCATGGCCTGGTTCGCCGTAATCGGGTTGGGCCCTTGTTAAAGAATACATGAGGCGTCGCACGGGGTCCATCCGATAGAAATATTCTCCAATACCCAAATCATCATGTGACTACCAAGACATCAACAATCGGTATTGACCGGTCCTCTGATCCAACCCAAGTTTCATGTTTGGTAGCATAGTATTCGTAGGATAATCAAAACTTTGCCACAAAACAACACTGCTACTAATATCACTACTACTTTGGAACGACACCAAATTCCCTCAATCCAAGAGTCGAGCTAAATAAAAACTGTTTGTCATAACTTCTGCTGAAACATTTGTTTGCCAAAGTATCGTAGTAACATTTTGGGTAATGTCGTCGTAGATGACAAGGTTTCCATCTTGGTTGACAGACATTGCCCCAGAGGTACCATTGATAGGGTTGTCTCGATTGGCAATCCAAACTATTTTTTGCTCAGAGATCTTGTAGTACCATATTCCAACATACCTACGATTGGATGTTCCATTTCCAGGACTGAAAAAACCAAGAGTGAAGGTCTCGCCATCGAACACTAGAATCTCCCCATCTTTGATGGATTGGTTTGGAGTTATGGTGTCAATAGAAGTGCAAGATCCTAAGAAAAGAAATGGAAGCAATATTATTGCATTGAAGACCCATTTTTCAAGGTACATGGTTTTGGTTACCTATTTCCTTGTGATTGAGGGATAATATAATCACTACAAGAAAAAGCACCATTGGAGACTAAAAAATCACCTTTGGTCGCTGAAAGTGTAGGTTTTGGTGACTAAAAAGCATTAGTAGCCAAAAGTAATGATTTTTGGTGACTAAAAAAATTTATTAGCCAAAAGTATAGGTTTTGGCGACTAAAAATCTGTTTGATCGCCCATATATGGCTTTTACCGACTAAAAAAAATTTAGTAGCCAAAAGTAAGGCTTTTTGGCGACTAAAAAAAATTAGTAGTCAAAAGTGAGGCATTGGGCTACTAAAAAGCTGTTTGGTCGCCAAAAGTGAGGCTTTTACCGACTAAAAAAAATTTAGTAGTCAAAAAGTGAGGCTTTTTGGCGACTAAAAATAATTTAGTAGCCAAAAGTGAGGCGTTGGGCGACTAAAAAACTGTTTGGTCACCAAAAGTGAGGTTTTTACCGACTAAAAAAATTTTAGTAGCCAAAAGTGACACTTTTTGGCGACTAAAAAGAAGTTTAGTCACCAAAAGTGGTAATTTTAGCATGGGAATTAATTTTTTTAACGACTAAAAAATAATTAGTAGCCAAAAGTATAGAATTGGCGACTGAAATTATGTTTAGTCGCCAAAAGTGGTCTCTTTTATTTTTCTAGTAAATAATTTATTTTTACATAAATTATGTTCAATAAAAAATAACTATATTTATATATATATACTTTTATATTAATACGGGTCTATGTAATATATAAATAATATATGTTGCATATATAATCACATGGTGTTATAGAGGTGTAGTGGAAAGATTGTGTTGTATAAGGTTTATGGTGTGAGAGGGTTGGGTTGATGGTTCGAATCTTCACAAGAGCAAATGGGATCCGTAATTTTTTTTTTTTCACGAATGAGTTTTTTGCGACTAAAAGGTTTGGTCGCCTAAACCTTGAGTATTGGCGACTAAAACATTGGTCGGTAAATGTATAATTTAAAAAATATATTTGATTATTGGCGACCAAAGTTTTGGTCGCTAACGACTTGCTTTTTGGCGACTAAAAGTTTTTTAGTCGTCAATACCTTTCCCGACCGTCTTTCGGCAACCAAACCGGTGACTAAAAATTTTAGTCGGAAAAATTAAAAAACTGACTTTTAACGACTAAAAATTAATTTTTAACGACTAAAAATTTAATCGCCAAATATATTTTTTCTTGTAGTGAATGTTATTTGTACAATGCCCATATTGTCAATTTCGTTGGCCTCTTGCTCTACTTTTTTATTTGACGATTATATGGGTTGTTAGATATCATTATGGTCAATGAAAGTGGCTGAGCATCGTGGACAAAAATTTGGGCTCATTGAATGAAAATTGGAACTGATTGATTGAATGCTTGGACCCCTTGAATTACTTTTCAATCAAATAATACTAATCTCAATAATTAAAATAGGATTAATTTCACTTTGATCCATATAGTTTTAAATTGAAATTTTTGATCCTTACCCTTTAAATTTAGTTTCCGTCTCTTAATATGTATATGAAAAAAAAAATTATCCGAACTTTGGACAGAATTGTAAGAACCAAATTGTTAAATTTAAAACTTTGAAAACTAAAGTAAAATTTAAATTAAAATATAAGAATTAAAAGTGATAACCCTAAAATTATAGTTGTGCAGAACGAGTAGCTGCAAATGGATAAGTCTCTTTTGCAATGCTGTCAAATGGATCAAGTCTCTTTTGCAATGCTATAGAATGGTCGTTTTTTCATTGCTTTTTTTATTTAAGACTTGTGACTCTTGGGGTCCATTGATCAAAGGCACCGATATGAAAATACTCGACCAATTAAGGTTTTGTTTGGCATCCTATGATTTTATTTTGAAAGGCAAAAAAAGTCAATAAAAAAAATCGAAAAAATTACCATTGTATCCTACAAATCTATCTACAATTTAAAATCACGTGTATATGATAAAAGCAACAATGATTCATCCCACTAAAAACATCACCACTAATAGCACTAATGCATTAAAAAAATAAAAAATAAATAAAAAAAAAACACAACTCCAAGATCAAAACATCACATCATTAATGGCAGAACCCACTGCCACCTAATTAGTGGGAGCACTAATTAATACTCCCAAGCATTTTTATGATAAAAGCCTACCATCCCTTCATTTTAGCCTAATAGTCTAATAGTGCTGATGATTTTTTCAAAATAAAAAAATGGACAAGTCTCACAATGTATCTTTTCCCAACAAGCCATTGACTCCCACAGCCAAATAGCAGGTTGTCGCATCAGTGCATCATTTCACCTACAGGTGAGTATAAATTCACAGTCAAAACTGTCACTTTACCTATTTTTTTATTTTATAAATTATTTTATTTCACATTTTTTTATAAAAAATTAAAAATTTATTCTCAAACATACTAATTTTTTTATATCATATTTTAATTAAAAAATTAAAAAATTATTAAAATAGTTTATTTTCAAACAAGACCTAACACTTTAGGCCCCGTTTGTTTTCAGAGATAGAATTGAAGGAATTCATAGTGAGGGGATTAATAGTAAGAGGATTGTTAGTGAGGGGATCGATAGTGAGGGGATTAAGTAAAATTGTGTTTATTTTGATAATAGTTGTTAGTGTAGAAATTGTTAAATTATTTTTATATAAAATAATAAAACAAATAAAAAAATACAAAAAATTAAACATTAATGTTCAAAAAAAATTCCCAATATGTAAAAAAAAAAAAAATTCTAATCCCCTCATTATTTTTCTAATACCACCTCTACCTCCTCTATCCTAATCTCTTCCCCAACTCTACAAACAAACACAACACTAAATAATCTCACCTCTATTCTAATCCAATTCTATCATTTACATCCCAAAACAAACGGGGCGCTAGTGCACAAGGATGCTCTAGTTTGGGAGACTATCAATAATTTCTTAGTACTATTATGAGTGAGGATTTTCTTATGCCCTTAGGGTGTGTTTGATTGGACGGACTGGAAAATGGGGGATTAGAATCCATCGGACTTGAGTCCTGGGACTGTGAATCCCCCGGACTATTTGGTCGGATTGGATATGTATCCTGTGTTTGTTTTTTCATGGGATTAGATGTCTGGATAGGACTATTTTCAGTGAATCCAACGTTTGGTTGGACGGACTGGATAGGATAAATGAACAAAAGACTATTTTACCCTTTTCAATTGTTTACTAAGTAATAGCAATATTAAACATATCTTTAATATTTTAATTATTTTTAATTAAATAAATTTGTTTTTTTTTAAATTAAATAAATAAATAAATAAAATATCAATAAATTTTGTTTATTTACACAATTAAACATTAAACATACTAATGGTTAAATTTTGTTTAAAGATATTTAAACATACTAATATTGATAAAAAATTGACTGGTACGTATTATTTTTATTTAAACAAATAAAAATTTATTGTTGAAATTAAACATACTAATGGTTAAATGTTTAAATTTTTATTTAAACAATTAACATTGAAATTATTTTGATGTACAGATTATGTTTAAACAATTAACAATTAACAATTAAATAAATGTTGATGTATAGATTATGTTTAAACAATTAACAAATGTTGATGTAATTAACAATTAACAAATGTAGATGTAATCAAATGTTGACGTATTAAAACATAATTTAATAGATGTTAATAAATATACATGTTGATGTACAGATGTTGAAATAATTTAATAAATATGTTGATGTACAAATGTTTAGATAAAACATAATTTAAATAAATGAAATTATTTATTGTTGAAATTAAACATTTAATTGTTTAAATAAAAAGTGAGGGGATTAAGTAAAATTGTGTTTGTTTTAATGATAGTTGTTAGTGTAGAAATTGTTAAATTATTTTTATATAAAATAATAAAACAAATAAAAAAATACAAAAAATTAAACATTAATGTTCAAAAAAAATTCCCAATATATAAAAAAAAAAATTCTAATCCCCTCATTATTTTTCTAATATCACCTCCACCTCCTCTATCTTAATCCCCTCCTCTATCCTAATATCTTCCCCAACTCTACAAACAAAAACAACACTAAATAGTTTCACTTCTATTCTAATCCCATTCTATCATTTACATCCCAAAGCAAACGGGGCGCTAGTGCACAAGGATGCTCTAGTTTGGGAGACTATCAATAATTTCTTAGTACTATTATGAGTGAGGATTTTCTTATGCCCTTAGAGTACTTGTTCAGAATGTGTTAAATGTGATTAACAATTTTCACTATCATAGAAATTGAAAAAACATAAATATATTATACTAAAAAAAAAAAATTGGGGGACCAAACTACCCTTTCTTTTTTTTCTTTTTTTGCAATTCCCTCAATTTTACTTTTTTTTATTTTATTTTTTATACTATACAAACAAAAATTGTAGGATAATACTATACAAATAGAATAATATTTAAAGGAAAATTATATTATACTAGAATTTTTTTAAGCAGTGACACTTTTGTAAATAAAATGCATCTCAATGAATTTGAAGTTTTAAAATGATAGGTACATAATTTAACACATTATTTTATATATTTTTTTATTTGTATAATTATTACTCATATTTAAATATTAAAAAGTCTAACTCTTGATTACATAAGTATATATGATTTTTTTGTATAAAAAATTTATTTATTTAACATTTTTAACCTTTTACTATAGTTTCTCATTATTAACCACTTTGTTATGGGACAAATTTTATTATTGTGTATTTGGGTGGTCCACTTTATGGGCCATTTAGGTAGTGGACAAATCTTAGTAGGCTGCAAGATGGCGAACTTAGTGAGCTCTGCAAATCTCAACGGTAACTCCCCTCTTCTCAGCAAGGAAGAGGAAGATCATCTAATCCGAAGTACTAAAAAGATCAAGAGCTCGGAGATTGGTGATGATGATACCATGTTGGACAAATCCAAAGCCCCACCTGTTCCAAACACCAAATCCTTTAAGGAAGCACTCATCGAGCGAAGACTCAATGAAAAAGAGTTCGATGATGACCTGGAAAACTTGGATACAGATGATGATGACTTCGATGACAGTGATGAAGATCTGGGGTCGGAAGGTAATGGGATGCCGAAGATAAAAATTCCTAAATCACTCATCAACAAAATCAGAAGACCTTGGAAGGGATGTTTGATTGTTAAACTTTTGAGGCGAAATATTGGGTATAAGTTATTAGTTAACAAACTAAAGAGGGCTTGGGATCTCCAAGGAGATTTTGAAGCTATTGAATTGGGTTTTGGTTTCTTTCTCATCAAATTCCAGATGAAGGAAGATTGTACTAGGGTCTCCACTGGTGGGCCTTGGATCATCCTTGACCATTATCTTACTGTCCAAAAATGGAAGCACCATTTCAAGCCTTCCGCAGCCAAGGAAATCTCTACGGCACTATGGGTAAGATTTCCTCAACTTCCAATTGAATACTATGATGAAAAAATTCTATACCATATTGCTAAAAGTTTGGGCAAACCTTTGAAAATTGACATTAACACTGCTACTTCTTCTAGAGGCAACTATGCCCTGGTTTGTATCGAGATGGATCTTAGTAAACCCCTTATTTCTTATTACTCAATTGGTAAATATTCCTATGCTGTTGAGTATGAACACCTACATTCCATTTGTTTCAACTGTGGTGGGAGCGGGCCATCGAAAGGAATGGTGTAATACTTCTTCGGTGAAAACCAAAGAACCAGCTAAGGTTCCGGCTAACAGAACCGAAAAAGTAACCGTTGTGGACTCGGAGCAACGGTCGAATATTTCTGTTGCTGGGCCTTCTGCTAATGGGCTGGCTGAATTATCCAATGAAAGCTTTAGGCCTTGGATGTTGGTTAAAAAGAAATACAGAAGACCTCAAAATTTGGGGAGGGGCAGAGAGGATAATAAATTAGGCAAAAGGCCTCAAAATGCTAATGGGCCTAAATTGACTTCCTTGGCAAATAATCCAAGCCCACATATGCTTCCATCTAGTCAGATTTCAACCCCTTTGGAAAAGAACTTGATGGTGGGTGAGAATTCCAATATCCATACTGACCCATGTGATATACCTCTGAAAAGTGACAATACTCAATCTATGGAAACTACTCCTATCACAGTCTCAAACCTATTCAATATGTTGCAGGCAGCTGAACAAGGCTCAGAAGATATTATGATCATGATTCAAAATTCGGATGGAAGTGAAAGTCAAGCTGCACAGCTCCCTGACCAAGTTAAAAACAAAGGAAAAGTAGATCTTATTACACAGAAACCAACTCTTGTGCCTGAGAGAAACAAAGCCAATATTTCTCAAAGGAAGAGAAAGGCAAGCTCATCTGAAAAATATTATGGAAGACAACAACGAAGAAATCCACAAGGTGAACTACAGCTCGATTTATCTCGCCATAGATCCAGAGAACGAAGTATTTCACCACATCATCGTCGATTGGTGGATAGAAGAAGCCAACTGGTGATAGAACCCAGGGTTGCGAATCCGTACGGCTCAATGAACAACTTGGTCAAGGTGAGTCCTTCTCGACCAATGGTCAGGGATCGCTTGAGAGTGCGAAAGATTTTAGGGACACCTGATTATGTCCCACTACCAAACCACCCTAAATCGTTTTCCATAAAGCTTGTTGTTTGGAACTGTAGAGGTGCTGGTAACAAAATCTTTAGAAGAACTATGAAAGAGTTGGTGAAAATCCATAAGCCGTCTATCATTGTACTCATGGAAACCAAAGTTGGATTCAATTCAATGGGAATGTTTTTTAACAAGATGAATTTTACTGCCTCAACTCACATTGACCCCACAGATAGAAGAGGAGGCATTTGGGTGATTTGGGACCCAGTTCAAGTTACAGTGAGGGCGTTCGAAGCCAATGATCAAGTCATTCATGCTAAAATCAAGAGGGACAGTTATCCAGAATGGATTCTCTATTCAGTTTATGCAAGCCCTAATCTTATGAATAAGGCCCTTTTGTGGGATAATCTTGAAGCTATGGCTAATAACATGACAGAGCCATGGTTGGTAGCGGGAGACTTTAATGATATTGCTTCTAATGCTGAAAAAAGAAGTGTTTCTACGATTCAGAGCCAAACTAATTCTCGAAAATTTGTGGCAAGAATGAATAGGTGCAATCTCATGGACTTGGGTGTTCAGGTCCTCATCTTACTTGGTCTAATGGGAGACAAAGCCTTGCCAATACTCTGGAACGACTTGACCGGGCTATTTGTAACTCAGAATGGAGGGTCAATTATCCTGAAGGTGCGGTGAAGAACCTCCCCAGAACTTATTCAGATCACTGTCCTATGGTTATCTATACTCAAGGTATGTCTCTACCTAATCCCTCTCTTCGACCCTTTAGGTTTGAAGCGGCCTGGATTTCTGACCCTAGTTTTAGGGAGGTTGTTAAACATTCTTGGTTAAATGACCATAATCTTCATCTTGAATGTCACTAAAAATGCTATTTGTTGGAAAAAAGAATCTTTTGGTAATATTTTTTGCAAAAAAAGATGGCTTTTAGGGAGGATTGAGGGCATTCAAAAATCACAATCTCTTTTTTTTTCTCATAATCTCCATATTCTTGAGACTAATGTTGTTAAGGATTATAATCTTGTCTTGTATCAAGAAGAGCTTCTCTGGTTTCAAAAATCTCGAACTAGCTGGATTTGTGAGGGTGAGAGAAACACTCGTTATTTTCATGTGTCTACCTTGGCCAAAAGAAGAAAGATGAGAGTTACTTTTCTTAAAAATGAGGATGGATCTTGGATTTCTGACCCCGCTAAGATTAAAAGCCATGTAGAAAATTATTTTCATAATTTATTTACCTCGAATGTCATAGTTTCAAATCAAGAGTGGGCTGTTAAATCTCATGTCCATTTTTCTGCTGAAGATAATGTTGGCTTAAACAAATTTATTTCGAATATGGAGATTTGGAAAGCTTTGAAAGGTATTAAAACTTTTAAAGCCCCTGGTTGTGATGAGTTTCAATCTGTTTTTTATCATTCTTATTGGGACATTGTGGGTGAGTCGGTGTGTGGTTTAATTAGAAATTGCTTTTCTTCTAAGAATATCCCTCTTGATCTTAATAAAACTCTTATCACTTTAATTCTTAAAGTTGATAATCCAGAATCCATTAAACAGTTTAGGCCTATTAGCCTTTGTAATGTCTTATATAAAACTCTTACTAAGGTTTTGGTGAATCGTTTGAGACCTCTTTTGGATAGAATTGTTAGCCCTAATCAGAGTAGCTTTATTCCAGGGCGTTCCACTAACGATAATGTTATTATTGCTCAAGAGATTATTCATACTTTTCATTTTAAAAAGGGCAAAAGTGGGGGTTTGATTTTCAAAATTGATCTTGAAAAGGCATATGATAATGTGTCTTGGTCGTTCCTCCATGACACTCTTTTGGATCTTAATCTTAATGCCAACTGAGTGGAACTTATTATGAATTGTGTCACTACTGTGAACTCTACAATTCTTTGGAATGGTGAAAGGCTCAATGAGTTTCCTTGGCTAAAGGCCTGCACCAAGGAGACCCTTTGTCACCCTATCTCTTTGTTCTCTGCATGGAAAGACTTTCTTACCTAATTACTGCCAAGGTGAATAATGGGTTGTGTAAAGGGGTTAAAGCTTCTAGAAATGGGCCTTCAATATCCCATTTATTTTTTGCTGATGACTTGTTATTTTTTGCCAAAGCTGATACTAGTAATTGTCAAACAATTATGGATGTTTTGGAGGAATTCAGTTCTTATTCTGGGCTTAAAGTGAATCTTCAAAAGTCTAAAATGTTCATATCTCCGAATGTGAGTCAAGCTAGAGCTAGAATGCTCAATAATTTTTATGGTATTCCCCTCACTTTGGATCTTGGTAAATACTTGGGCATTCCTCTCTTGCATAGAAGAGTGAACAAAGATCATTTTATCCATATTCTTGATAAACTCCGATCTAGATTGACTGGTTGGAAAGCTAGCCTCTTGTCTCTTGCAGGTAGGGCAACACTCGTCCAATCTGTTACTTCTACTATTCCTAATTATACCATGCAAACCATGGATCTTCCTATTAGTGTATGCAAGGATCTGGATAGGATTAATAGAAATTTTTTATGGAGAGAAGTGGATAACCAGAGGAAAATTCATTTGGTCAATTGGAACACTGTGTGTTCTAGCAAGAAAGTTGGTGGGCTTGGCCTTCGTAAAGCTAGACCCCAAGATCTTGCTCTCCTTTCAAAGCTTGGTTGGAAAGTTTTAAAAGGGGAGCAAGACTTGTGGGTTAAGGTTTTGAAAGCCAAGTATTTGCATAATTCTGATTTTCTTAACTCCTTTGTGCATCATAGAAAATCCCTTGTTTGGAAAGGCATTCTTCAAATAAGGGAAACTTTGATGAAAGGTGTTAAATGGAGTATTGGTGGTGGAGCCTCTGTTTCTATATGGTATGATTGGTGGTGTAGTGATAAGTGCTTTGCGGAAGCTTATCCCAACCACAATCTGATGTCTATGGATAAAGTTGAGACCCTCATGGATGACAAGGGAGGTTGGGAGTCTCACATTGTGAATCGTAAACTCCCGGAGGAGGCCGCTATTAATGTCCTTAAACTTCACTGGCCCATGTTTATTTCTTTCCCTGATTCTCCATTTTGGAAAGGTTCTATTTCGGGGGATTTCTCCACTGCTTCTGCTTATGATTTTATTTCTGAGCATGATAGCAGTGAGAGGAATTGGTTTGGCTTTGGAAATTAAAAATTTCCCAAAAAATTAAGGGTTTTATATGGTTGATTTTGCAAGGGAAATTGCTTACCAACTAACAGAGGTTGGCAAGAGGCCTTTCTTCATCTGCAGAATGTCCTCGTTGTTCCGAGGAGAGAGAAGATTTGGATCACTTATTTCGTGATTGTGCTTATGTTAAGCCCATTTGGCAAATGTTATTTGGTTCCCAATGGATCCCTCATGATAGAGGCATCTACCTTAACTCTTGGATAAAGCGGTTCTTGAAAGGAAAACATCCGTTTGCTTCTATGGAGAATTATAAAATTCTTTTTATTATTTCTTTATGGCAGATTTGGAAGGATAGAAACTTAAAAAAAAATTGACAATAAAATCTTGCCTTGGCAACAAAGTTGTTTTTTTATTCAAAATTACACTTCACAAATTGTTGAAGCGTTTAAAGCATCTATTCTTTTGAAATCTGTAAGTCCTAAATTTGTGAAATGGTGTTTACCTCCCACAGGTTGAATCAAGTTGAACACGGATGGTTGTGCTCGAGGGAATCCGGGCAATGGAGGCTTCGGCGGATTGTTTCGAGATGACTCAAGAATTTGGATATATGGGTACTTTGGGAAGCTAGAATTATGTTCTAGCTTAGAGGCAGAGCTATGGGGAATTTATGGAGGGCTCACTATTATCTTCCAAAAAGGCTACATAGATGTGTTGATTGAATCAGACTCAGCTGAAGTTGTGGATCTGTTGCAAAACGCAACTGTTGTTAATGCTGCTTTCCGGAGTATTGTAGAAGATGCAAGACATCTCTTGAAAAGATGTAGATGTTCTATCCAACACATTTTGAGAGAAGGAAACCAGTGTGCTGATAAGTTGGCTAAGCTTGGAGTTGATCAAGAAGAACATTTGGTTGTCATGGAAGACCCTCCTAAGGAGGTTCAAAGTTTGGTGGTGGCTGACATGCTGGGGCGTGAATACCAGAGACTCTAGGCCTTTTGTTTGTAGTTGTTCGATTTCTTGCTTTTATGTTTTTTCCTTTGTTCTTTTGTGGTCTGTTCTAATCCTTTCCGAAGTACCTAAAAAAAAAATTTTTATTATTGTGGCTTGTGTCAAATACTATTAACAAGAAAATTACTGGTGACCATTAACTACTATGGCAAATACACTGCATCTTCCCTAATTCATTTAACTTGTGAAAAAATAATGTTTTAAGTGTTGAAAAGAAAAGGGAGGAAGATGAAAGAGTCAAGAAAAGTAAATAAAAATGTAAATACAAACAAATACAAAAGGGTATTTTTGGTTCTTTAGTATAATACGTTTATTTTCTTTACGATTTCAATCGTAAGGTTGTTGATCACATTTAATGTATTCTTGACAAATATCCTAAAGGCACTTGTAACAAAACGAAACCGTATGAGTAAGGTTAGAGATCCAAAAAAAAATTATCAAAATTTCTATATGAGACATTATCTAATAATTACTTATTCAATTAATTACTTCATCAGTTCAAAAAAAAATTAATTACTTCATCACTTACTTACCCATGATATGATTATCTAATAATCAAATAAAACATCACATAGGATGATGAATTTACTGTACAAATGTAATTATTTTATTCAATTCAAACATCTGTATATAGTGAAATATATCATGATAATTTATAATTGAATGGTAATAATATATGTCAATAATAACGTGTTATCATCGTTATAATGAATTTTTTGCAAAATTTTTTAAATTTTGCAAAAAACAATTTTAAATATGGCTAAATTTTATTTTGGAATTTTCATTTAAATAATTTTAAAAATTCAAATGAAATGTGGTTAGATAGACCAATATTTTCTTTAAAAAAAATTAAAAACTTAAATTAGATATAGTTAAATGAACAAATAACTTTATATCATGTAGGATTTTAATTTTTAAAGAGTACAAAAGTTGAGAAATTTAGTTTAATACTTTTGGAACTTCTAGAACAATTATTGTTAAAATTTAAACATTCGCCGACAGGGTTTAGGCGACTAAGTTGGCGACAAAAAAATTTAGTCGCTAATTGGTTTTGGCGACTAAAAAAGTGACCTTTGGCGACTAAGATTTTGGTCGGCGAAAGTCTAATTTCTTGTAGTGTCTATTAAGAAATCTTTTTCTAAGTACTTCTATCTCACACTACAACAAAAACACATTTTAGTGACACCATACTAATTCATAATATATTTTTGTATTCTAACAAGTTTTATTATTTTGATATTTGATCCACCAAATTTTAATTTTTATATTTAAAGTATTTTATAAACAATTTTACCCTTATAAATATTTTTTGAATGCTTAGCAACTTAGTGATGTAAGGTCATGTTTGTTTGGGTGAATATGAACTTGGGATTGGACAAATAGTTCAATAAAATTATTAATCCGATGTTTGGTTAAACAATTGAAATAGGGACTAATTATTTTAAACTTGACTATTAGTTAAGACAGGATACATAATCTAACGGATTCGTAATCCTAGGACTATTAGTCATGGGAATACTAATCCAGTCCGCCCAAACAAACATGGCCTAAATGTTCACGTTGATAGAGTGAATATTCACATCACGAAATATTCACACTATTAATGTGAAGATTATTACTAGGGGTATTTTAATAATTATGTCACTCATAAAATTTATTGAAATATAAGAAATTAATTTAGACTAAATAAAAACATAAGTAGATAAAAATGGATTAATGAATAAATTCTCCATTTAAATAGCAATATTTAAACAGAATGCATATATATTTAAAATCTTTCCAAGTCCCTATGAGACAATGAAATTTTTGTTTAAATTATAAGTAAAAATATAATTTTCAAAACTTGAGAGGGGCGATTACATACTCCTGGGTGCCAAGGTACCACTGCGATACGGTAAAATATTTTACCGAGCATTTGGGCACGTTACAGTCACTTCGTTGATACTAGAAGTACTTTGACCTAGTGGATGATCATGTGTCTCAATTGAACTCCTCTCTGTATAAAAGCCAGGTCGCTTGGGTTGGGGCAACATTGCACTCTCACTAACCAACATTAAGAGCACTGATGACATTGATGGTCTGTCTTCCGGATATTTCTGTACACAAAGGAGACCCACATGTATGCACCTCAATACCTTTGACATTGGAAATGAACCCTCCATTAGTGGATCCAATAACTCATAAGCCTTTCCTTCAGTCCAAAGTTGCCATGCCTGCAATGGTTCAATATAGTACGCAATATTTAAAATTCAAATAAAGGGAAAAAACTGAGGAAAGTAGAAAAAGGTGTTTTTTTTTTTTAACTCAAATGAGGAAACTCTCCAAGGTTAGGTCGCATTCGACCTACTCCTACATGGTAAACCCCAAATGTTTACAGCTAGTCTCAAACCACGGCTATTGAATAAGTCGAGGTGTTGCTAGTGGGAGTGAAACACAATAACATCTTTGATTTTATGTTGGTTCTAGGGGTAACCTTGAACCATTGGACTATCTTGATGGAATATAAGGAGGAGATATATTATACATCGATGAACTTACATGCCCAAGAAGGTTAAGATCATGATCCGGATGATTGAACATTCGGTTCCTTTTGCCGCTCATTATTTCTAAAACTACGACTCCAAAACTAAAAATATCTGATTTCATTGAAAAGAGGCCATCAATTGTATATTCTGGAGACATGTAACCACTGCATACCATTATCGAAGAAATTAGAAATTAGAGCCAAATGAACTTTAGACATGAACTTAAATTTGGTTTAGCCTAGAAACAAGGTAATATAACTGTAGTCACTTACTAAGTTCCAATCACCCTTCTTGTTTTTGCCGATGATTGATCACCTCCAAAAGCCCTAGCTAAGCCAAAATCAGAAATTTTAGGATTCATCTCACCATCAAGTAACACATTGCTAGCTTTAAGATCTCTATGAATTATTCTCAATCTTGAATCTCGATGAAGATAAAGAACCCCTCGAGCAATCCCCACAATAATGTGCAAGCGCATCCTCCATGTGAGCGATTTACTTTTGTTTTTTACATCTGTCACAAAAAAATTTACCCATGATTTTTATTTTGTTTATTGAATTTTTGATAAATCATTATTGGTCAAACGTAAATTCCAAGTAAGAAAGATACGTGATACATGGTCCTCTGTCCCTAAATATTCATATCCCCTTTATGATCTAAAGGTTAGAAATGTATTGGGACAGTAAAACATAAAGATTTAGAAACAAAAGATCCTTAACAAACAAATACATAAGAAAGTTTAGAGGGCAAACCAAAAATGAAGGAATCCAGGCTTCCATTGGGCATGTACTCGTAAACTAACATTCTTTCTTCTCCATGGATGCAACATCCCAAAAGCCTTACAAGATTCCGGTGTTGAAGTTTAGCAATCAAAATAACCTCATTTTGGAATTCATCCACACCTTGTTTGGAGCTCGTTGAGAGGCGCTTGACAGCTATGTCTTTTCCCATTGATAGTTGTCCCTATGGTTAATTAACGTAAGATATATTTTCATCATCATACCAAAGACTACAACTCTTTTTCCACTAAAATAGTAGGCAACAATGGCTTTAAATAACGGTATTGAAATATATAGTATTTGTTCAAAAAGAAATATATATCGATATTAATAATTCAATCATATATCATTCAATATGGGATAGTATCAGCCAATATATGAGTAAATATTGAGATCAAAAATTTTAAATTTTAATATATATCAACTGATATTTAAACCATGAGAGCAATGAAATAAACCTACCTTGTAAACAGGCCCGAAACCACCTTCACCAATTTTATTTGTATCAGAAAAGTTGTTGGTTGCCCCAACAATAGTGATCATATCAAAGATGGGTAATTCTAGATTTTCTTCATCATTGGCATGAATGTCGAATCCAGCAACTATTGATCATAAAATACACAAGAAAATGTAAAGCTTATCAAATTCACTATTTGGTTTTGAAATATGGAGGAAACCATATCATCTAGGTGATTAATGAAAAGCAATTTGTTTACCTCTTCTTGCCTTCTTCATTACCAACCAACAAACTAAGGAGATAATCAGGGCTCCCATCACCACAACAGATGTCACCACAATGATCATCTTCTTTCCATGAAGACTTTTAGATTTCTTCTTCAAATGTTGAGCTGCAGTCAAAAACATAGTCATTGATTCAAATTAAATTTGAAACATAAGTCATCCATTTTAGGTAATAATAGAGGAAGCTCCTAAAAAAATTATAAAAAATAAAAAACAAAAGTAGAAAAGGGTGGTAATTAATTATATAATTGAGGGGTAAAAGTGACGTAATTATATAATTATTAAGATGTCTAAATATACCATTTTAAAATTGATGAGGTAAAATGATATTTAATAATAATTGAAGGTGTGTCTAAATAATTGAATTGGTTTAATCACAAAAATTAATTGAATATTATTCAAATCATCTCAGCTTTTTCTCGAACAAAAACATTAAAATAGCCACACATGAGAAACATTTTTCCCTTTGTTTGATTCTGGTGTTGGTTTATAGAGTGGGAAGCCCAAATAGAACTATGAAGGGTCCATATAGGGATTACTCATGATTTATATATATAAACACCTTTCACAAGAGGCCCAATTAATTAAACTAGAGAAGCCCATATCAAAATTGGTAGCAGATTATAGTCTCACACTATAAAAGTCAACTAGAGACGCCACACTTTAGAATTAGTTCTAGACTTTTAATTAGCTGTTGTTGGACTGGGAAACAATGCTTTCTGGTCTAATTTGTTTGTTATAAGTAAGGGTATTTTTGTCTTTATAATGTGGGGGACTCTAGAATTTTTAGTCTTTCAAACATGAGGTAATTTTATTCGCACGCCTAACAAAATTTAAATATATACTATTTGTGTAATTCAAATATAAATTTTTAACAAAAGTTAAATATTCAGATATAGATTATTGAGTGAAAATGAATTGTTCAAATATACATTCTATTGAATAGTTTATATTTGAACAATCATTTTTTGTTAAGAAGTTTACATCACAACATTTCAACTTATGTTCGAAAATTTATATCTAAATGACACAAACGGTATATAATGATATTATTGACAACAATGGTTAACTAACAAAGAGAAATCAAAAATAAAAGAAATAACGTAAAATAGAGAGCAATAAATCTCCGCAATTATTGATAATTCTAGAAAATTCTATATATAATAATGAGTCAAAAAGAAAATGGATTAACATACCTAATAACTCATCGGCATCAACACGTATATAGAGAGAATATCTAGCACTATGGGCTGTTCTTGCATTCATCAAAGTCCCATACCAAGTCTTGCAATAGTTGCCCCCATCACTTGCAATACTGTAAGCCGTGCAAGAACAATTTCTCAAGCACTTGGCTTCACACTCTTCCAGGCTCAAATTCATCTCTTCATCTCCCTTCGACGTTGGCGGAATTTTTGCTTTTTCTATCTTCACGAACCCTTCTCCGTTCCCACACATGCCAAGTGCCGCGCGCTTTTTCACACACCCGCCTGAAGCATCACGTGAATAATACCATTCATTTGGTAACTTGGGCTCGTACCCTGGAAGGCACGTGCACTCGAACTCCGCCTGCCCTTTGTTCTCGTTACAATAACCAAACCCGCCACACCGCCCATAACTGTCACATCGCTCGTCTAGGCCCGAGTAAGACTCCACCCATTTACCCTTACCCTCGAGCCACGTGTTCATTTTTATGTTCCCAAGTTCGTCCACAAGAAATATGGACAAAATCGAGGCATTGATCTGAACGTACGATAGATATACTTCCTTGCGATTGTCAATGAAACTGGAAATTGTGAAATTACCGGTCCGTTTGTTCCACATCCATGGTGCGGTTTCCCAAAATCGAAACAAGCCCTTGTACAATACCAATTGGGGCGACCCACCCGGGTCCTCCATCTTAAAGGAGTATTCTCCTTTGCCAGGGTCATCTCTCGACTTCCATGATGTCAAGAACCGGTTCACACCGGTTATCCGGTCCAACCCCAACTTCATGTTGGGCAGCAGCACGTGCCTAGGTTAATCAAAACTTTGCCATACAAAAATAGTACTATTATTGCTACTATTACTAACCACCAAATTCCCCGAATCCAAGAGTCGAGCTGAATAATAACTGTTTGTTGCAGCTGCTGTTGAAATATTTGTATCCCAAGTAACATTATGGGTATTGTCGTCGTCGTAGATGACAAGGTTTCCATCTTGGTTGATGGATATTACTCCAGACTTACCATTGATTGGGTTGTCTTGATTGGCAACCCAAACTACGGTTTGTTCAGAGATTTTGTAGTACCATATTCCAACATACCTGCGATTGGATGTTCCATTTCCAGGACTGAAAAACCCAAGTGCGAAGGTCTTACCATTGGACACTAAAAGCTCACCATCTTTGATGGGTTGATTCGGAGTTATGGTGTCACTGGTGGAATTGCATAGTCCGAAGAAAAGATACACAAGGAATAAAATATTGAAGACCCATTTTTCAGAATTCATCGTTTTGGTTAGGGATTTCTTGTGATTGGGAGAAATAAAAAATGTTCTTTTAGAATTCGATTATCAATTTTCTTGGTCTTTGGGTGTACTTTTGTTTGATGTTGACTTCATGTTTTTGCCTTTACAAGTGGTAAGATAGTCAATGGAATTGACTGAGCATCATGAATGTAAGATTAGTTTGAGAGAGTGAGAGAAGCTATAGAGTGAGAGAGAGACTCTGAAATGTGTTTATTATATTGTGTAATTTACAAAGAGATGAAGGCTCTCTTTATAGAGAGAGAAAGGGGCATTGGATACCACCATTATCACCGAAAGCAAACACTACTCAATTAACAATATAATGAAGTCTGCTAAAGCTATGCTAAAGCTATTCTAACACCGAAAGCAAACACTATACAATATTCTAACAGCCCCCCGCAAACTCAAGGAGGGAAAGCATCAACCAAGTTGAGTTTGGAAACAAGATCATTGAAGCGGCCAGGAGGATGAGCCTTAGTGAAGATATCAGCGGGTTGATCGACTGAAGCAATAGGAAGAAGATGAACAGTCCCACAGGTAACATGCTGGCGAATGAAATGACAATCAATCTCAATATGTTTGGTGCGATCATGAAAAACATCATTGTGAGCAATCTGAATGGCACTCTGATTGTCACAGTAGAGAGGCGTAGGAGCAGATGAAGAAACACCCATATCAGCAAGGAGCCAGCGAAGCCAGAGAAGTTCCTGAGTAGTATCAGCAAGAGCTCGGTATTCAGCTTCGGTGCACTACTGGTCTTGCCCATCAATATCAACTTCAGAACCAACTTCACCAGGCCAAATATGCATCCGATCTTCTGGCTCGTGCTGGTCTTACTGATTGCAAAACTGCCTCTACTCCGGTTGATCCTCAGATTCGTCTCACTCCTCTCGATGGGACTCTTCTCTCTGATGCTACTCTTTATCGCCAGCTCGTCGGCAGTCTTGTCTATCTCACAGTCACTCGTCCTGACATTGCCTATGCTGTTCACATTGTCAGTCAGTACATGTCGGCTCCTCGCACTCCCCACTATACTGCTCTACTCCGTATCCTTCGCTACCTCAAAGGCACTATGTTCCATGGTCTTCACTTTTCGGCTTCTTCCTCTCTTGACCTACGTGCCTTTTCTGATGCTGATTGGTAACAATGAAAAAAAAAAAAAATGGATTTTTAAAGGGAAAATAATCAATAAGTAACGAATCTTATAACATAGATAAATAAATTTTATTTGTGATAAAAAAAATTCCAAAATATTCATTGTTTCATAATAGTGTCTTATTCAATTTTATCCTTCCTATTTAATATAATCAATAATTTTTTAAATAATTTTAATTTAACTAAAATTTAAAATTTTAATTGTAAAAATTATTAATCTCGTACTTACAATTTTGTTTATGAAAAATCATTTAATTTGAACAATTAAAAATAATTTAATTATAAAATTTCTAATAAATTAAAATTATTTATCAAATTTTTTGTTCGTATTTTAATGAAAAAAGGTAAAATTAAAATAAAATATACTATTATGAGCAATTGAATTTTTTTATAACAATTTATAAAATAAATAAAAAGATTTATTTGTTGATTTTTAAATTTGATATAACTCAATAATAATTTTCAAAACAAAATAAAACTTATTGATAATTTTTTCATTGTGATTTATGATTCTCTTTAATATAATATCATAATTTGTACAATTAAAAAATATTATTTTATTAAAAATATTTATGAAATCGTTGTTCATATTAAATAAAAGGTAAAATTAAGATAACATTCACCATTATGGAATAATGAACTTTTTAAAAATATATTATGAAAAATAAAATTTAGTTGTCCATATTGAAACTTGATAGGACTTTATAATAATTTTAAGAGCAAAATAGGATTTATTGCTTATTTTCCCTTCTGATAAATGAAAGATGGAACCGATTCAATAATTGGGAATTTGCGTGTAAGTCCTAATAGGTGGACTTATTATCTAATAAATCATGTGATAATTAATAGCATTTTTTATCAAACACTATCATCACTAGTTATTAATTTTCAACGATAGTTTAAAAATTTTATCACAAAAAACGTTATTAATTATAAGTTTTAGTAACAATTTTAAAAAATTATCACAATAAACGTTACTAATTTTTAATTTTCAACGACAATTTAAAAAATTCACCACAGAAAAATGTCATTAATTATAAATTTTAGCAACAATTTAGAAAAAGTCATGACAAAAAAAAAAGTGTTACTAATTATAAGTTTTAGCGACAGTTTAAAAAAATTATCACAATAAACGTTACTAATTTTTAATTTTCTGCGACAATTTAAAAAATTTATCACAGAAAAATTTCATTAATTGTAAATTTTAGCGACAATTTATACAAAGTCACGACAAAAAAAAGTCACTAATTATTAATTTTTAGAAACATACAAAAAATGGTCACAAAATTTTTTTTATAAAGACAATTTTACTTAGCCTAACTTTCAATAGAACTTAATGAAAATTAAATTCAACTATTAAGATCTATTAATAATTTACCCTTCAAAAATGGTGCTTGAATTTAGATCTGGAGAGAAACTTGAGGTTGCAAAACGAACACAAAAACAAAATTCAAATTATGTGTATTTAAAATTAATAACAAATTTTGAATTATTTTATTTGTAGCCTAGGCACCTTAGGAAAGTTAGTTATACTTAAATTTATATTTTTATAAGTATAAAATTAGTAGGAAAAAAATCAACTTTTCAAATAAAATTGTTTTCTTATTTGGAATAATCTAAATAAGTACATTTTTTAACTTTTTATGAAAAAATATGTAAAAAAAGTAAAGAAATGATATGACTCAAATAAATACGTTTATGTCAAATAATACCTTAATATTGAGATAAACATGTACAATACAAAAAACAACCAAGGAAGTCTGTACACTAGGAACAAAACTTTAGAGACAAAATCACTTTTACGAATAAAATATTTTTATTGTCAAAAGTATCATTATTATATTTTTAGTAACGAAATTTGGACATTAATGCTGAATTATTATTTTTTTGAGACCAAAATTCGTGTTAAAAAATAAATCTTTTTCGAACCAAATTATTTGTCGCCACATATATTAGTGAACTTTTAAATTTTTGTTTAGTTTGTTTTTCAAAAAAAATTTTGGGAAACATTCTCTACAAACAAATTTTCAAGAATAATCAAACTAAACAAATTTTTTTAAAAAAAATCTCAAAATTTTGTTTGGTTACCTACTTTTCAAAATTACTCACTCATACACATCAAATTAATCATTTTTTTAAAAACTCTCTTCCCAAAACAATTTTTCAAAACTATTTCTAAAAAAAGGTAAACCAAACAAGTTTCCGTACTTTTTATCTCAAAAATTACTCTATAAACACAAACCAAACACACCCTTTATTGCTAAAAGTTCTATTTTTCACTTTTCAAGAAAAACTTTTAAGGACTATTCTTGGATGACAATAATTGCGTCCCAAATATTTTTTTCAACAAAATTTTCATTTTATGAATAAAAAAATATAATTTCTAAAACTCTTAGTTATCCAAATACTTTCTTGATATTGTATAAAAACAAATATTATAAAAGCACTTTTCCATGTTGTTTTAAAAAATGAGTAAACCATTTTACATAGATTTACATAAATAGAAATTGAATTCTCTTCAATTTGCGGATGTAACTAGAGACGTCATGTTGATGAACCTATTGTGGTTTATTTTAATGATTTAAATCTTTTATTTTGGATAAATTATAAACACATTTTCTGATATTTTCTTAAATTATAAATTATTCCTTATGGTTCTAGAAATTACATTATGCCCCTTAAGGTTTTTAATTTTATAACAAATAGGTCATTTTATTAATAAATCATCAAGTTAATTAATAATTTTTAAAAATGTTAAAATTTTATTTCAATTAATAATTTAAATAATTTTACTATTGTATAGGTGAAAAGTTAGAAATTTCACTTTTTCAATTAATTCTGTTAAGTAAAAAATTCTGCAAGGGAGGTATTTATAATTTTTCAAACTACAGAGAACAATTTATATTTTAAGCAAATCTCAGAGAGCGTATTTGTAATTTACCCCTCTTCAATTTGGGGATCTAACTAGAGAGGTCATGTTGATGAGCTATTGTGGTATATTTCAGTGATTTAAATCTTTTATTTTGTAATGGCTAAAAGAAATAATCCATGTAAAACAATCAAGATTGTCTAACATTAATATTCATATGATCTGTTCATGTTTATTTTAAAAAATAAGTGATTTATTTTTAAAATTAAACTTCATATCTATTTTTTTTTTCCAGACATGTGATTGAACTAATTTTCCTGGAAGATGCTATTGTGCTTACAATAGGCAAGATAGTCAATGGATTTGACTGAACTCCATGGAAAAAAAAATGGGTTCATTCAATGAAAATTAAAACCGATTGGACACTAGTGTTTCAATCTTTATTTGGAGAACAACGTTAGGATGACCGTGCACTTCGTATCAGAATTGTAAGTGTCTATATTAAAATAATTAAATTTTTAATTAAAAATTTATTATTTTTATTTTAATTAATCATCTTTTTCAAATATATTTTCCAACAAACTCTTTAAAGAGGTTGATTTAATTATCCTAAAATGTATAATTTGTTGTTTCCAAATTTCAAAAAAGTCAATGTAATTTATCTTTGAAAAAAATTATATTGAATCCATATACAAAGGAGTGTTTTGAGAAGTTGGTAAAAAGCTGTTTAATTTTTTTACTTTTTTGGTGACTTTTTTGGCTTAAAAAATTGGTTTTTTATGACTTTTTTAGCTTCTTCCCAAAAGACCTCAAAATGATATGACACTTTATATTCAATTCATATCAATTCAAAATACCTTACTATTCTAACTTATATTTTCAAAAACATTATATTATTTGATTCAGCTTTTTTATACAAATTTTGTTTATAAATATTTTTTCTTAATTTATCATATTA